AGCCATACCTCTACAAGCATTGTGCTGATGGTATTTACAGAAGATGCTTAGCAGAAGAAGAAGTTCAGGACGTGCTCTTTCACTGTCATGGATCAGACTATGCTGGACACTTTCAAGACTGTCTCTAAGGTTTTGCAGGCTGGATTTTGGTGGCCTACTATGTTCAGAGACGCCCAAGCCTTCATCACAAGCTGTGATACTTGTCAGAGAAGAGGAAAAATCAGCAGGAGACATGAGATGCCACAGAACTTCATTCTAGAAGTTGAAGTTTTTGATTGCTGGGGTATTGACTTCATGGGACCTTTTCCCTCATCTTATGGGAATAGATACATTCTGGTTGCTGTTGATTATGTATCTAAGTGGGTAGAGGCATTGGCTACTCCTACTAATGATGCTGCAGTGGTTTTGAAGCTGTTTAAGACCATTATCTTCCCCAGATTTGGTGTCCCGCGGATTGTCATAAGTGATGGTGGTTCTCACTTTGTCAATAAGGTTTTTGACAAGCTGTTGAAGAAGTATGGTGTACAGCATAGAGTGGCCACACCCTATCACCCCCAAACAAGTGGACAGGTTGAGGTTTCCAACAGACAGATCAAGCAGATTCTAGAAAAGACAGTTGGGAAGACAAGAAAGGATTGGTCTGCAAAGCTGGATGATGCATTATGGGCCTACAGGACTGCATACAAAACGCCACTTGGGACTACTCCATTCCACCTTCTCTATGGCAAGGCGTGCCATCTACCAGTAGAGCTAGAGTTCAAAGCAGAATGGGCCATCAAGAAGCTGAATTTCGATCTGAAACCTGCTGCAGAAAGGCGTTTGATTCAGCTCAATGAACTGGATGAGATCAGATATTTGGCCTATGAAAACTCCAAGTTATACAAGGAGAGGACAAAGGCCGCGGTTAGGAAGATTGGCCGCAATCTGAGCGGTACCACCCACCTCCTCTGGTTGTGAGAAATATCATGATAAGAAGATCATCTTCAGGCATTTCGAGCCCAATGACCAGGTATTACTCTATAACTCTCGTTTACAGCTTTTTCCTGGTAAATTGCGTTCTCGATGGTCAGGTCCTTTCACTGTCAAAGAAGTTCGTCCACATGGTGCAATTGTCCTGATTAACTCCAAAGGAGAGGAGTTCACTGTCAATGGACAAAGGGTGAAGCATTACTGGGCACAAGAAGAGATTCTAGGAGGACACATTGTGTCTCTGGATCAGGCACCAGCTGTCTAAACAGCCAACCAAAGTCAAGCTAATGACTTTAAACGAGCGCTTAGTGGGAGGCAACCCACTGGTAAGTTGTAGATATAATACTTAGTTATTATTTTCGTGCTTAGGATTAGTAATTAGAATTTAATTAGTCAAAAAAACAAAAAAAAAAAAAAATGGTGACGATCGTCACCCTTATGGTGACGCTCGTCACCCGTCAGGATCGAGCACGGGTCTTAAGTTTTTCTCTTCTTCTTCCTCGCGCATAACCTGCAAAACAGCGAACACTTAGCAAAATAGGGAATTTCATAACTTTTGATTTTCTAAACCAAATTGAGTGATTCAAGAGTCTAATCCGTGCGGATTTTGCTCCTCTTTCTGAATATCCACTCAGTTTTTACGATCTGCAAGGTATGTGTTTGGAATCCCCAATTTTCAGTCCGCCTTAGGTTTGGTAAAATCCGATTTTTGACTTGATTGACTTGATTTAACTGTTGAATCATGGTTAGTTAGGTTGTATTGAGGAATGGAACCATCTATGTGAGCTTTTATTGGTTGATTTGTACTGTTTTGAATTTTCGAGTTCATGATGAAAATTGCAAAAATCTGGAAATTTTGGGTGATTTAGGTTGAACTGAGGGAAAATCGCATTTTAAACCTCCAAAGTTAGATTCACTTACACTTTAAACCTTCGGACTTCGACACTCTCACTTTAAACCTTCAAATTACAAAACTAACACATTAAACCGTGAAAGTACCTCTCTTGTTTTCGCCGCCGAATCATTAGACGGAAAATTAGCTCTGTTGACGGAACATTAAACACTGTTAAATCTTTTACAAAACGTAGAAAAGAAAAATTAAACAATAAAAACTTAAAAAGAGAGAAACACGAAATAAAAATAAACCTTGAAACCAAACACTCTCAAATCGATTTAGGGGTTTAGGGTTCGTAATAGACAAAATCCAGAAATTCCAATTCCAAAGAGATAGAAGGGCAAAAATAGTGAATCACGAAGAAGAGACGACGGCGTTGGAATCAAAATGGGGTAAGTGTTTTCTTCTGATTGAGTTCGATATCTTGGCTGATTGTGTTTCGGCGAACAAATTTCTTCTGATTGAGTTCGATATTCATTTTCTTCTGATATGACGATGTTATGCTAACTTTCTATTGCTTCAATGCAGCGACGATGTGATGCTAAAACTTAAAATTCATTTTGGTGGTGCTATGAAGAAAGAGAATGAGAGTTACAACTATATAGGGAAATTGGGTACTCTGAGCGTCAATTGGAAAGAGTCAGAGACTACATGGGAGAGGTTTGGAGACTTCCTCAAGAACGAAGCTCATATAAGTACACCGATTATAATTATCTGGTATAAAGAAGTAGGGAAAGAAATGAATAGCGTAGACTATGCTTTAGATGAAACAGACATGCTTTGTTTGGCTGGGAAATCATCAGGTGAGCTTGATGTGTTTATCGAACACGACTGCTCAGAACATATACCTGGATATACGAGCACTTTTCTCGTCGCAAGCAGTCAAGTTGAAGAAAAAAATTGGCATGAAGATAATGCAGATGGATATGAGGCTGGTCAAGAAGATGAAGAGGACATGGGTGAGAATAAAGATAGTGATGATGATGATACTGACAGACCAAAAGAAGATGAAAAACCTGAAGAATCGGAGGATGAAAACAATAAAAAAATGAATGTTGCTGAAAATCGATGCGATGGTGTGATTGAGAATCAAGGAAACATGGCTGAGAATCAGGGAAACGTGGCTGAGAATCAGGGAAACGTAGCTGAGAATCAAGGTGTTAGGTCTGTTAAAAGAGATGAGGCTTGCAAAGAAGGTGCTCCTGTGTTGAATACAGTGGATTAAGGGGATGAGGTTGTAGTAGATGCAGGAGATGGACGCAGTGATGATAGGTTTAAAGAGGTCTTTGAGGAAGGGACAGCAGTATATCCAGCGAAGGAAGCATATTGTAATAATGAAGAAAAAAAAAGATGCAGAAAGAGAAGCAGAAGACAGTGAGGAAGAGTATGGTATAGGTCAGAAAGAGTATCCAGATACACCATTAGAGTCAGAAGAAGAATGGGAACAATGGGCCAGTAAGAGAACATCAAGAGGGAAACCACATTTTCATGGAGATTTCGAGAAAGAGCCTTATCTCTGGTTGTTTCAGAAGTTTAATAGTGGATTAGAGTTCAAGGACCAGCTGCTGCGATACTCATTGAAGACTCAATTTGATGTGAAGATGGTGAAGTCAGAAGCAGACAGGATTGCTGTGATTTGTTGTGGTAAAGACTGTCCTTTTAGAGTATACTGCTCCTATGAGAAACCTATCAATAAGTAGATGGTGAAAGTCTGTAAGCTGAGACATACTGATGGGAAATCAAGTAGAGTGTCGATGTTGAAACAAGGAGTGATTGCAGGATTGTTTAGAGAGGAGTTAAGAAGGAATGTCAGCCTACAAGCATCTGAGATTAAAGATGCCATCAAAGAACGATATAACATTGTTGTCTCAATGCCAAAATGCTATAGAGGAAGGCGTATTGCTCTGGACAGCATCCTTGAAGCACATTCGACTCAGTTTGCTAAGCTATGGGATTATCAAGCTGAACTTGTAAGATCTCATCCTGACATTATCACTGAGCTGAACACTATAAAAGTGAATGATGGTGATATGTTTGACTGCTTTTACATCTGCTTTGAAGAGCTGAGGATACTTGGAAGAATTGTTGTAGGCCAGTCATTGGTCTAGATGGATGTTTTCTGAAGTGGGAGTTGAATGGTGATTTACTTTCAGCTGTTGGCAGAGATGCAGATAACAGAATGTATCCAATCGCATGGGCAGTGGTTCGTGGTGAGAACAAAGACACATGGGGCTGGTTTGTTAGGAAGATAAAGGAAAATCTTGGTTTGGGAAATGGAAAAGATATGACCATCATTTCTGATAAGCAAAAGGTAACTTATCTCCTCTCATTTCTGATAAGCTGGTTTTGATGCTTTAATTGTTAGGCTGAATATTATTTCTATTTTGTAGGGTTTGGAAATTGCCATTGAGGCTGAACTTCCACAAGCTGAGCACCGGATGTGTGCAAGGCATAAATACGCCAATTGGAGGAAGAAAGGTTTCACAAGATCAGAGTTCAAAACTTTATTCTGGAGAGTTGCTTACAGCTACACTCAAGGAGAGTATGAAGATAAGTTAAAGCTCCTGAAAGACTACGACGTTGACGCCTATGAAGCTTTGATGGCGACAGAACCAGAGAGGTGGTGCAGAGCATTCTTCAGCCTTGAATCACATTGTGCTGATGTGCATAATAATCTGTCCGAAAGCTTTAATAGGACAATCAAGATTGCTAGATCAAAGCCAGTGATAAACTTGTTGGAGGATGTAAGAAGACAGGCTATGAGAAGGATATCCAGAAGATCACTAAAGGCAGAAAGTTGTGACACAATCGTGACACCAATCACAATGGCGTTGTTGGAGAAAGCAAGGGAAGCAAAGAAGTATTGCTCAACAAACCGCAGCTCTTCAAGTGTGTATGAAGTGGTTGAGTTTGATTGTGGATATACAGTCAATTTGTCTACACACCAGTGTGCATGTAGGAAGTGGGATCTTACAGGTAATTGTTATTTATTCTCTCTAATTGGCTTTATGACCAGACGATGGTAAAAAATTGTGTTTTAGTTGAGCTTGACTATGTTTTTTGATGATAGGGATACCATGCAAACATGCTGTATGTGTTTTAGACGACAATCAAGAGGACCCGGTGCTATATGTGGCTGAGTATTACGACACTCATGTCTTGAAGAACACATATAAAGACAACATCAAACCTGTCAACGGTGAGAAGCTGTGGGTTCAGACTAACAAGCCTCCAATGGGAATACCTGAGGTACGAAAGCCGCGAGGTCGACCAAAAAACAGAGATAGAATCATGGAGCCTTTTGAATCACTACAGAATGCAGGAAAAGCCACAAGACATGGCAGGATACCACATTGCAGCCGTTGTGGTCAAGTTGGACACATTAACAGAGGATGTAACAATGAACCGGTTGTTGTTGAGGGACCAAAGAACAAGCGTGGTAGACCTCGTAAGCATCCAGCTGAGGTACGTGTGTACTTGTTTAATTATTCTGCGTGTTGGACTTGTTTGATGATTCTAGTTATAGGACTTGTTTGATGAAACTGCTCGTTAGACTATTGAAACTAGAAGAGCAATTGGTTTTTAGTCTTAATTTTAATCTGGAATTGATTTTTAGTATGGACTTGTTTGATGAAACTGCTCGTTAATCTGGAATTGGTTTTTAGTCTACAAGCTTAACATTCGGCTTCACCAGGTTAATCCCAATCCGAAGCCTCCACCAAAGCCAAGGAAAAAATGCTCAGCTGAAACAAACTCCCAACCTGCTCCTGCAACAAGCTCCCAAGCTGAGCAAACAGGCGACTCAAGTTCACAGCCTCAAGTTATTTCAAGTGCTCCGCAGCCATCATCAAATCAACCACCAAAGCCACATGCAAAAAAGGCTCCACGAGGAAAGCCATTGAAGATCAGAAAAACAGGTAACATCACACATGGTGTTGGAACGCTTTGGAGTCCATTCACGGACAGACCTTTTGAGGTGTTTGGAAGCCGTTTTTATGATAGGTCTACTTCAAACCCACAACCTCCAGAAGAGTGATTTTAAGCTTATTGCAGCTTTGTAATTTGTTATTCTGTTTCAGAACTTATGTTTCGGAACTTATGTTTCAGAAGATGATGTTCTTTTGGCTTTTGGTTTTTGTTTGCAGCTTTGTAATTTGTTATTTTGGTTTCAGAACATAATGACAATGTCTTTTGGTTTTAAAATTTGTTGCTTTTTGTCATTTTGTTGTTTATTTCAGTTTAACCTCTCAAAACAACAATGTCAACAAAATAACAATGTTAACAATACAACATTCACTCGTACATAATAATCATAATGTCAACAAAACCCACTCATACAAAGAAAAAGACAGTAACAATCCAACAAAGACAATACGATAATTCACCGAACAGAGTAGACACAATGTCACAAGCTTAACGTCACTTACACATCGTCACCACCACTCCAAGTATAATTGTAAACCCAACGGAAGAAGTGATAAGAACATTACGGAACACCCTACTCCTTTCATTCAGAATCAAAACTTCTCGCTTCAGTGCTTTGCATTCCTCACTAGTCTGCTTCACATCATTCGAATTTTCCCGCTTCAGTTCTTGTACTTGTACCGCTTCCCTCAAGTTCTTAATCTCTTCTCTTTGCTCACGAATGACATCTCTTGCCTCAATCAATGCTTCATGTTGCCACCCGTGTGGTTTCTTCACATCAAACCAACGGAAAAAGTTACAAGACTCATACCCGTGAGCAACCTTACGTCCTACACAGCCATAGAATCTGTGCCCAGTGTTCGCATCAGTCCAAGCCCTTACAATCTTCGCAAGCTGGTTACAATTACACAAAACAGCTTTCTCATTCTTGTACTGAACAGTTGATGAACTTGCACTGTCACTGCATTAAGAACATATATAGCTATTAATGTTTAGAAACTGAAACTATAACGAGAGTATAAGAAGCTACAACAACAGAATCCAACCAATACATCTGTTCATACTACTCGATCTCGAAAACAAACTATATTTGGAACTGGGACTACAATCGCTCTAAACGAATCCGAACAGAACAGAAATCACAAATTTAGTAACTCTTCATCAAAAGCTATCAAACGAATCCGAACAGAAATCACGAATTTAACAACTGGGACTACAATCGCAAACACCGAAAAAATAACTCTTCATCAAAAGCTATCAAACGAATCCGAACAGAAATCACGAATTTAACTCAAATTAAATGTTTAGAACTACACTTACCCCATTTCAAACACTGTCGTCTTTTGATTTACTCTCGATTTACTCTTTCTCACTCTTAACTTTTGGGGTTTTCGTTCTCAAGAATCCTAAATCCCTAAATTGATTTGAGAGTGTTTGGTTTGAATGTTTGTTTTTATTTCGTGTTTCTCTCTTTTTAAGTTTTTATTGTTTAATTTCTCTTTTCTTTTTAATTTCTATAAATACGTTTTGTAAAAGATTTAACAGTGTTTAATGTTCCGTCAACGGAGCTAATTTTTCCGTCTAATGATTCGGCGGCGAAAACAAGAGAGGTACTTTCACGGTTTAATGTGTTAGTTTTGTAATTTGAAGGTTTAAAGTGAGAGTGTCGAAGTCCGAAGGTTTAAAGTGTAAGTGAATCCAATTTTGGAGGTTTAAAATGCGATTTTCCCGTTGAACTGATGATTGAATTGTGTTCCTGATAGTGCAGTAGTTAATCGCCATTAGTTATTTCACCATGATTGGTTGATTTTTCGAATTTTGAAAAATTTGCTAATTTTTGAGATGTTTTTGGTCGATTTTGGTCTTCAATTTTCAGATGCCTCGTCAGGAGAAACGACCAAGACAAAGCTCGTCTTCCAGCACTGCAACAGGGTCTACAGATTCCTTCAGTCAGCACCCGGTTTGGAGGCCCCCATGGCCCAAACGAGAGGATCGGAAAATAGCCTCAGGAGTGGCTTGGGCAGGGACTCCGAAGCAAGAAGTGTCCCGGGATACCTGTGTGTTCCGTGATATTCAGGAGGAGTGGGATGAGTATGACACGCTGTTCTATAATGCGTGGTTGGGAGTTAAGATTATCCCCACTCGGTTCGCGGATCCTGCTGTTCTGCAGAAGATGGGGATCTTTGAGGAGGTTGTTCAGATTCTAGAGCGCATTGGGATGGGGACTATGCCGTTCCAGCAGTATGATCTGTACCCAGATTTGGTCCGCCAGTTTCTCTTTACAGTTCGCGTCTACTACGCGAATGAGCTGGCGAAGCGTGCGCAGGAAGGCACTATGACATTTCTGATCCGAGGAGTTCGATACCGGATCAGTCTGATGGAGCTTTGTGGGATCTATGGCTTCTTTGACCATCCCACAGGCGTTCTCCTTCCCTCTCAGTGGACCCATATGAGGACATTCTGGTCCAAGTTCGGGAATGGAGTCTATGATAGCAAGACCAGCACGCAGACAGAGGTTAGACATCCGGTTTTGAGGTACATTCTGCGCCTCTTTGGTCATACCATTCTGTGCAAGTCTGCGCCCATCAAGACTCGAGTTAGTGAGCTGATTCTCCTCTACTACAGACTTTATGAGATGCTGGATGATTCGATACCTGTTGATAGTATGGTTCGCGCCAACTTAGGCACTGTTTTCGCTGAGCATTTGGTCTTCTTGAAGACCAAGCCATTCACCAGTCCAGGGAGAAGACTGAGAGTGTGGGCAGCTTGTTGACACCGATCTTCCATCATTTCCAGATCGATGTCACACCTTGCAGTCTGCGCAGTGGCAGATCACTTATGGATGACCAGTATCTGCGCCATGTCACTTGGATGAAGATTGGAGTTGTCTGGACTTTCACTACCACTTTTGGAGAGTATGTTGGCATTAAGTTGCCACAGAGAGCCCTCACTACTATTCAGGAAGATCCACGCCAGCTATTCTTCATGCCAGCACAGACTCTTCTGCGCCCCTTGACTATGCGCCCTGCTAGAGCTGCTACAGCTGGCCCCTCTGCTTCTACTACTGCTGCTGCTGATGCTGGACCTTCTACACGCCAGAGTGGTTCTTCTGCTGCTTTCAGGCGTCCTCCACGACCACATACACCCATGGATATGGCTGCTTTTTAGGAGTATGTCATTGACAGCTTTGAGGGACTATGGGATGCTGTTGCTACACTTAGCAACTGTGGTTGTGTCCGCCTCCACTACACCACTGAGCCTTGCGAGGATGAGGATTGAGGCTTCACTATCTGGTTGCTTGTTCCTTTTTCCCTTTTATTTTTCTTTCTCTTGAGTCATTTTTATGTTTACTTTGAGTCAGTTGTCAGTTTCTTTGATGATGTTTTGTGAGATTGTTGAACCAGGATATTATTGCTATGTTTGGATGTTGTTAATTATGTGTTTGAATGCTCAAAAAGTCTAACTTTCGAGTACACATGCAAACACTTCGTTAATTAACATCTGACATAAGAATTGGGCAATACAGGTCGTGGTGACGCTCGTCACCAGACTGGTGACGCTCGTCACCCGACCCCACGCGAGGTAACACTTTTCTGACTTGGTTTTTCGACTTCTCATTCATTTTTCTGACCAAATCTTGGCTTGATAACACTGGGGACAGTGTTGTTTAAGTCTGGGGGAGGTGGTTACTGACGTTTTGTACTTTGTGTCATCTTTATAGAGTCTTAAAGTTGAGTCAAAAACCTGTTTTTCTAGAGTCAAAATGTTTGAAACTGTTAGTTTTTCTTGGAACTAGCCATAGGACGTTTTTGCTGATAAGAACCATTGCCACAGTAGTTGATTACAAGTCTTACTAAGTTGAAAGTCATAGGTATATCAGTCTAGCAATGAAGGTTTAGGTTCTTAGAGAATCTGGAAAATTTGCTGTTAGCTCCACCTTAATGAACTTTAAACTTCTTGTCTTGGTGATTGATTCTTATTGATCTTGATTCTCTCTTTAAGCACTGACAATAAGGTTAAGATACAGTCTCTCTTTGATCTTCCCTGATGTAGTTTTTAAAAGTTTAAGTTCAAAAAATGGTGCATTCATGACCCTGTCTCCTCACAAGGAACAACAGTAGTGAACACACTCAAGAACCTGTCTCCTCACAAGGAACACAAGTATTGAGTAGCACCATTTCTTAGACTGAAAAAGTTGAGAAAAAGAAGTGAAAAATCGAAAATATCCTAAGGAAAAAGATTAAGGGAAGAGAAAATAGGAAAGCTGTGTTGAGATTGATTTGTTCAGTTGTTAGGAAGGGAAAAGAATCTGTAAAGTGATTGAGATGATAGAGCCTTGATGAGATTTCACACTTCGATAAAAAATAAGGAGTTAACAGTAGAAATTTCGGATTTCTTGAAGGGATTTGGACTGGACTTGAGAGATTTTCTAAGATTGTGATGATTAGACTGAAATTTGATCTTGTGTTGACCATGTGGTATGTGGATTCGAAAGCTCTAACTAGTGTGGTGTTCCTGATGACTGACTGACTGTTTCTTGTTTTCAAACCTCGACCTTATTCTTTGTCTGATGTTTGCTTAAGGGCAAGCAAAAGCTAAGTCTAGGGGAGTTGATATATCATGGTTTTTATGGTTTTTAACCATGATATAAGTCCTTTTTATTGAGTCTTTTTGGTCTTTTTAGAGTCCTAGAAGAGTCTTTGCAGGTTATAGCATGTTTGGAGCATAATTGGAGATTTTGGAACCTTTTGGAGCATTCTGAGTGGAAGTCACGAAGTACCAAGCTCGAAGCAGAAAGTATTCACAAATGGTGACGATCGTCACCCTTCACCCATTAAGGAAGGAGCGTGGCTGTTTTATTAAAAGTATCAAGAAGATTTGCAGAATTGGCCCAGAAGTTTCCTTTATTTACATGAAGACCCCAGATCGTGTTTAACTTTAATTTATTAGGTTTTTCAGCCATTGTTGGCTATCATCTTAGTTTTTGAGAATTCAGAGAGCTAGAGAGAGATTTATTTCAGAGTTTTTGGAGAGACAAATCCTATACTCTTTTGAGAAGATTTCGAACCCCCTTTATTTCTTACTCTTTCTCTTAATGCAATTTTATTCAGTTATGTTTTGTGATCTCATAATCATGTCTGAGTAATCTGCTAGTTAAGTTAGGATTTTTCAAAGGTTGATGAAAAGAGTGTAGAATCGCTATCTGTTAGGAATATCTTATGGTTTTTCATCTCTGCTTGCTTTAAAATCGAATTTCTGAGACACATCATCTAGGAATCCGAAAATCATAGGTTGTTAAATATATGTGAGAGCATTATTCATAACCTGAACTAGTATTTGATGAGCAAAGCAACTTAGTACAAAGAGATTTGGCTTAGGAGTTTTGTAAACAATTGAATCTGATCATTCCTGCATGCTTAGTTTGTTAGGGTTTACAAAGAGATTTGAAACTCTGTGATCTAGGCATAGATAACTTTTGCAATGAGAATTGATTAGTTATGCATTAGTGATTCATGTTTAAAACGGTTCTTAATCATTCCTGATTGCCTGCGTCATACATTCTTGGATTCAACCTGCGAATTATCCTGACTTAGCACTTTTAGTCTTCTTGAACTTAGATCATATCACACAATCGTTTGCTTACTTTTATTCATTCATTCGCATTACATACATCATATTTTGCTTAGCTTAATCCGAATCTACATTCGATAGTGTAGTCTGCATTACTCTCTTGGGATTTCGATACCCCTTGTACTACAACTGCTTTTGCTGTGCACTTGCGGTAGTTTTATTTGGGTAAAACCTGAGCCCTATCATGAAGGAGGTGAGCCTTGGGTTAGGGAGAAGTACTCTTGCTGGCTCTTGGAGATCATTAAGGAACTTGTAGACATGCTTGTCTTGAATACTATTCTTAATGAAATTACTTCTCTTCAGGGGGATTGGGAGTTCAAGAATCATGGCAATGGGGTACACAAGGTGATTCTTCTCAAGGCTGTTGAGGAGGAAGTTCCATTCAGGAAACACAGTGATAGGGAGCTCATGGAAGCTTTCAGTCAATGCACTTTCAAACCCACAAGGTACCCATGCACCTCCACAATGAAGGCGCTAGGGATCTATGAAGACTGCAAGTGCATCTTTGAGCACATGGGGCTTAGCGAACTGTTGAAAAAGCCTCTTCCCTCCTATGAGCGCCTCATGGCCAGTGGTGTGGACCTTGTGGACCTTGAGGAACATGCTGAGGATGCTCTAGGTCCCTCATGGATAGATATGGATTATCTGAAGAGAAGCCATTTTATTGAGAAGAGTATTCAAGACAAGCATGTCT